GCTTGCGTGATATTTCACATAGCATTTAACAGTGGTATTTTAATGTGAGAGACCACATTCTTATGTACATACATTACATACATACATACATACATAAATACATACATACATACATACATGCATACATACATACATACATACATACATACATACATACATACATACGTACATTTTTCATATCGGCACGCAATATTTGTGAATCTGAGCAGGATTTTGCAGTTGCTTAGCAACACCTATAGAGGTGACAAAAGAAATCCTATTTCTATCATGCGTGATTTATGATGGCTGCAATCCTCAATTGTTAGAAGATCAATTGCTTTTAGGCGTAGGTGACAATGTTGAAGGCGATAGGTCTCATTGCACATCGCGGTTTTAAAGTTACAACAACCATTTTGGGGCACATGTTGCGCAGTGGTTTAAGGTGCCTCGCAGTCCACAATGGATCGGTCCCTGGCTCGACCGCGCACGACTCACCCAGCTTATCACCATTCCCTGATCGGAAAATTGCCGTCAGATTTCCGTAGAATGCTAAGAAATCTGACTTACATTGGTAGACTTCCGCAGTTCAATGTATAGGCTATACGTCAATCTCGAGGCTTTCAATCATTTCTGCAATGCTTGCCGAAGTCGAATTCATGGCACTCCCATCGGGAATTAATCAACGCTGAAACTTTTGTTCTATTTTATAAAAGGAACATTCCAACAACCGCTAAATGTGCTCATGTTCTGGTCAGGTGGGGAGAACTTAGCGAGTGCCGTCCTCATTCGCCTCCGTACACGTCGATGCTTGGCGCACAATTGCTCCTCACGAGATCAATACGAAGGAGGCTGAGGCTTCAGTGTGGAACCGTCCATCTATCGGAGCGCTTTTCTCGTTGCTTCGTTTTTAGAGAGGCGAGATTTTCCCTTTAACGATGACGACGATGACGGGCCACGTCACCCTCATGTGTTGTTTTTGTTTGTTTTGCTACCATACTCCACTAACATGTCTCGTTCACACATTCAGGGAGCATTCATTGTTTCTGGGATTGTTACCTCTCATAGGCGTCTAAGAAATTAATTGTTCATCTTTCTATATCTCCTAAGAAAGTTCAAAGCATCTGCTAAGAGGACTTCAGTACGCTGTTGAACAGAGATGCTTCCATATTGCGTGAATCACGTCCAAGGTAAGAACTGCCTCATGCTTTATAAAAATCTGAGGGCTACCCATAGCTTTTTTGTTTTTTCCGGTTGTGAAATGTTATATACCAAAGTAAATTTACCTAACAGAAAGGATTTCCGAAAAGCGATACGCCGGACAAGTTTACATGGCAAAATTGAACGAAACTAGGGATTTAAGTGGACGTGTTAGGCGTGTAGCTTCTCTAACATGGAAATCCTTTTTACATAGAACAGTAGGGGTATTTGGAGAGATTTCTCGTTTTCCCATTCTTCACAATGACAAATTAGTAGCGCTTGAGTTGTTACCGCTCGAATTGTATGCATGTTTTGGTCTTTGTGGAACAAAACTCGATAAAGCAGGGCTCATTGGCCGAACCTCGGCCGACGACGATATGTTGTTGGGCTTATTGAAGGAAAGCCATCGCTACGCCTACTTTACATTTATGCAACATCAATGAACTTTTGTTAAATCTTAGATTTTACTCGTACGAATAGAAATTCCTACGAACATGCTGATTTCTTCACCTTTCATTAATTCAATGGCCTTAATCACTCCGTAGCGCTCCGAAGTCTTTGCGACTGAAATTTCAACTGGGCAGAGTTTTTCCAGTTTCATTTCGGATAATAAAGGAATATGGGCATGTGAGTTGGTTTGTAAGGAAGAGTTAGGCGCAAAGTGCAGCGGTTCGGATTATGTAGTTGAATTAGCCACGCGGGTCTTTATGTCGTATTGGTTGACCGGCCATTAGATACTGGTTTGAAACCAGCTCCTCTTCGCACCTAACTCTTCCTTACATGATTTCATTCTCAATTTGTTCCCTTAAATGAGACGACTGATAAGGACGGAGGACCTTAGTTAGGGTGTGAAGCCTAGGTTTTTTGCTTACATTCATTTATTTTACATGAATATTATTTAAAATAGGTTTTTCGCTTGAGCTTGACAGTGTCATCAACACATGGCCAGTAAGCTAATTCTTCAGATTAATTTAGTACTCTATGGCTTTTTCGGAGACGAATTTATCTTCCACTTCGTATTTTTGTTGAGCAAACGCGAGGTGTTATTATTCTTTGTTCACGATTAAGCTGACGTTTCGGCGGATTTCGCCAAAGAATAATAACACCTCGCGTTTGCTCAACAAAAATACGAAGAAAATCACTTGATCAATGCCGAGGTTAATAGAAAGTCGGTCGTGGCAGTTTTCTTCCACTGTTCTCTGAATCTCAAAAAACACTCCTTTGTCCTGATTGATTCGTTTGCTTTCGCCGCTATCAAACGACCAATAAAAAGCGAATTGTAGACTGACGGACTCGTTGTCTACGACAAGAACAAATTACAATCGTCAAGTTATTGCTTTAGTCCTTACTTGATGACCTGACTTCCATACTAGTCATACGATGCGAAAATAGTGTGGTCCGTTTCAGCACTGTGTTAACACGTCTAGGACGCGATGGCGCATTGGTCGGAGACGCCTTGTAATAAACATGGGATCGATCCTCGCCCCCTGGCCCACCAAGCATTCCATCCCTGCAGGGTCGGCAATTTGGTACCAGACTTGTCTGGGAGGATAGCAGCACTGGCTCGATACATCGGTAGGCCACCGCGAGTCATGTAAAGGCCAGATGTGAATTCCGTGACCTACAAACGGTGCTTAATGAAGTCGAATAGATTGATCAACGGCGAGAGCTTTATCCTTTTTATTTTATCAACATATTTTAGGCTACAGTAAATTGCATTAGTTGATGAAAGCCATTGGAATCTGCAAATTTTGCCTACAAGAAGAAGTGCTCTTGTTTTAATGAAGTCCTGATTTTCTCTAGCCCGCGATATGTATTTCTTCTCCTTTTTTGCTTTAGAGCTCATATTTCTAGCGCGAAGGCGACTAAACAAATGGAATCTTGGCCAGCAGAACACGATTGAGTTTCCAAGTGTATCATTCGTGTTTGCAGTTGCGGCTGGCCTACCGTTTGAAATTTGAAACTTGTAGATCGTATTTTAATTTTCTGATCCACAAAGGCTGCGGCTGCTTGTAGTGATGAAGACTTAGGGCAGACTTTGGCCAGGCTGAGCTCGGGATTCCAGGGAACCACAATATCTTAACCAGCAATTCTCCGAAAAACGGAGATTATGCTGGCGCTCGCACGACCAGTGAGGCCAGGCCATTCAAGTATCGAGTGAGCAAGTATTTTCATTTTTTTAAAATCTCAATCCTGAACACATTCGAATTTGAAAGGACACGGTGAAAAAATCTTATGTATTATTAGTGCGATAGAACAGCGTCCTTTCTATGAGTTTATAAAGCCCTGAACTCTTGAAATACTTCATTGGTGGAGCAATTTTCCTCAGTTAACAAAACGAAAACAGCTTCGTCGGCAAAGGGCTAAATAAACGTATCCTTTTAAATCCTGGAATTTTAACCGAAGTTGCTGAAAATGGGAAGGACCAGCTTCTTCAATATAAGTCGGACACCTGGAATTTATCTGAAGAGCTGAAGCATTCTTGTGCGTGTTTTTGTTACTGCTTGTTGACAATCCGTTATTGGCTCGTGGACTAATGGTCCAGCAATCTGCATTCATTAAGAGCTTCCTATTTACCATTAGTATGCCTGAACAAAACTAGTTCATTGTGTACAACCTTCCTTTCTGAGGTTGTTTTTGCCTATAGTCTTATCGTAGTGAAATTAAACGCCACTCGCGTGCATATACTCATTGGTTCGATTCCTCACCTTTGCGTTACTTGGCCTTCTTTACTTGATCAGAGTTTAGCAAACAGATCGGTGACTGAAGAACTTGCTCACTGCCAAAAATTCACTACAATAACAAAATCTGCGCCCACTTTCAACAGTCCGTGTCCAGCATGTCGATGAGCTTCTTGAATCTCATTTATCTACCATCATCATTCTTTAATTACGAGTTACACTGACGATTAATTGATATTGATTTTGACGGTTTCCTAATCGATAATACTACCTTCTGAGATTCGAATATGACACAATTTCGCGGAGAATGCAAGCACGACAACTTCTTGAAGCAGTTCGTCACCAACAACGTCAACAACTCGTCTACGTAGAGAAACAAATTCAATCAGTAAAGGATAAAGTTGATATTGATCAATCCGACTGGGTGAAGACAATGGGATAAAGCAATAGGCGTTGATTAATCCCGTTGAAACGCACCATGTATTCGACTCTATTCGTAGCAAATAGAGCTGACTGGATCCGTATTTCGCCTATAATGACTCGTAGAAACATTGAATTCACAACCATAAGTTGTTCCAAGAGATTTGCGTGAGTTTCCGTTCTCTGATATTTGTTTTCGAACCATTCGCTCCGTTTGTTAGTTGCTAAAGCCCTGTAATACACATGGGATCGATTCCCGCGCCCATGGCCACCAAGCCTTCCATCCCTCCAGAGTCGAAAATTGGTGCCAGACTCGTCTGGGAGCGTAGCAGCACTAGCTTGATACATCGGTAGGCCACCGCGAGTCATTGTAAAGACCAGATATGCATTCAATCACCTCCAAACGATGCTTAATGAAGTCGAATGCATGGGGTATTCCTAAGGGATTGATCAAAGTCGCGAGCTTTTTTTTACTTCCATGAAACCCGGACAAGAACAGTTGAAGTACAACATCGAGGTCACATTGTGTGTTTTATTCTGTTGATTTTTTTTTGCTTTTTGTCTTTCCATTATTCATATTATGGACGTTAAGCTAATCGAACCTCTTATATCTAACTCCACCATTCAATTACACAAGTTGATTTCTTTCTCATCATATTTTACTAAAAAGAAGTAAAACACGTGGACCAATTCAATGGCGCTTGGCTGATTCGCTTTTAGTCAATGGTTCGATCCTTGCCGTACTTCCACCTGAAACGGAAGATTACTGGCACACCGTCAAGTCAATCATATCAGGTCTAAAATCCAAGCATTTTTTCTATCCTGAGGACTACTAATATTATCGTGTCGACTTAGAACTGCTCATTTCTTGTTGTAGGTCAACGAATAATCAGGGCATCCAAACGCACCGTACCTTCCTATACTTATTTTTGAATTAAATAACAATCCTCGCAACGGTTTACCGCCTCATTGCGGCTGGGAGGTGTTCTTGAGTGTTGTACAGCGATGTACAACGAGGACACTCATCCCTCTGGCAAGGTCTCCCAAGCTGAGATGAAGTTCGCCGTTTCCGTCAGGAAGACCGGCTAAGAGTAAACCAATAGCTGGATCCGTCACCGTCTTGGTGCCAAACTAGTCACGTGGTGGCAAGTCTCCCTCTGATCCACAAGAGCGGCGATTGCCTGACGATCTGGCGTGGACTTTTGCCTAGCTAACCTCAGGATTCCGGGCAACCACAATGGCTAAGCCAGGAAAACTCCGAGAAATGGAGCTTATTGTGGGACTCACACAATCACTGAAGACGGGCCATATAAGTATCCAAGTGTTGAGTAACAATAAAGATTCTGTATCGAAAAAATTACTTTTTAATAGGTGGATCTACTTGCTTATCTTTTTATTTCTTCCATGTGTGCTCGCATCCTCAAGAAATCGATCTGTTGATTTGATGCTTTGTCGCTTACTTCCACTTTCTCGCAGTGTTCCTTCAGTAGCTACTTTTCAATAAAGTCTAAATCATTGCCTCCTAACCAAAACTCTACCTCGATTATTTTTTGTTGACTGTATTGTAGATACCTCTCTCCTAATAACATGCCGTATTATTGTGAATTGTCGGTGTTGCTGAGTGCCGAACTACAACAACGGTTTTCATACCCTATCATGGTCACCGATTCAGAGAAGAATTTCCACATTTTCATTTAGAAACCTAGCTAAGGCTAACTTATGCTACGGCGAAGCTTCACGTTGTTACCTTCTTGTCCAAAGGCTAAAGAAGTATGGCATAAAACGTGTGCTGAAAAGTTTCTTTCCCTCTCTATCTCCTGCCAGAGTTACTTGAAGGGCTCAGGTTGCTTGATAGGAATAAAAATCGTACTCTTAGCTCAGAGTCTTCGTGAAGATTGCCACACTCCGTGAAGGACACTTGGACTGCCACATTCTATCTCAAAATAGTAAAAATATGTGGCCACGTACGAAAAGCGTGATAATCTTTGTCTCCTTTGAGTGGGCGGGATCCATTTAGCTTCTTAACCACGCGATGAGAGTGAGTGCAGGCTTTTTTAGTTCCCATTCCAGTTTCTTGATAATGAAAGCGACTGCAAGTGGTTCCAGATGAGAAGTCACCAAACAGTGATTTTTTATCGTATTATCCAATAAACCAATAGTCATTGACCACCGAGTATTGGTACTGTAGTTGTTCTTGGATTAATGTAATTTTCGTGCTTAGAGGTTGCAATGTATGCTTAATTTTTAATGTATCTTAGCACTATAAATACATCTTCAGATGTTGTTGGCAGTGGGTACTCTACTACTGACAGTATTCAGTCCTGTCACGCTGACTGTGAAGTGCTTAGACTGCGTCGGTAAGGACTGTATGGGTTCGTTTTGTGAAGGTGACTATTGCGTCCTGTCACAGTATGCGCCTCGATGGGGAACGATCGAATGGGGAAAACCACAGATTGTTAAGGTTAGTGAGCATTGCTGTTCGTTCAGAATTGTTTGATTCATTAAAATTATTCTTCGTATTTTTGTTGAACAAACGCGAGGTGTTATTATTCTTTGTTCACGATTAAGCTGACGTTTCGGCGGATTTCGCCTTCCTCAGAGCCGCTTCCTATGAGGTTTCCACTAAGTATAAAAAAAATTAGCCTCTGATTAGATCCTTCCTTGACAAATTTTTTTTAAAGGGAAAAGCTAATATACAAAAGCTTGCCCAACTGAACGGATAGCCGTTATACTCTTGATGAATTTAAACCTACGAAGACAAGAAGGTGTTTATCGACTAAAAGAGGAATTTTGCAATATGACCTCATAGCCGCCACAAATATCGTATATTTGCGTCAGGATTTTTTTCCTTTTTTCCATTTCAACTACGAGATGCTGAGATATTTGCAAAACTGCGGACCACAGGTGTCTGCGGTGGGGAGCGAACATGCTATTACCCTTTCCTTGGGCTAACGCATTCACCACCACACCATGCAGGTCTTTCGTTTCGCCTGTGTCTCAGCTAGTTCTCTAGTATCTTTGATATTGTGAACGTGTCCTCAGTAATTCCCAATAATTCTACTACGCTAAATTTAGAAAAAATCGTCATTATTGTTTGGCATTGAACTCAGTTAAGAGAACAACTTAGTAATCGTCGGGATGTAGGTTTTTCCATGGTTTGTTTCAAATCCGTTTGAACTTCTCGGTTATCTCAGATAGCCTTTATTATCCCGCTTTCATAGCCATTTCCTTTGGGAATTAGCAGTGAGGGTAAGAGAAGATGATGAAGAAGAACAGGATATAAGTGTTATGGAGGTGTTTGGCCGAGTGGATTGCTGTCAACTTGACCCTTACAGGCTCTGAGGAAGGCGAAATCCGCCGAAATGTCAGCTTGTGCGTAAATAAAGAAATAAAATAGCACTTCGTGCTTGCTGAACAGAAGTAGAAAGATACAGGACATAATGTTATCTATTCGCACGATCAGGAATCCAATATCGAATTTCGTGAAACCGTCTTGGCGATAACTCTTCGGATTTAATCCAAAAGGCCTGAGGTAACTCCCAGCGGCTGCAGCGAATCAGAATTTCCATGGTTCATCGACCATGAGGGCTTCAATTTCATGGCAGAACGTGTCCTTTCACAAGGCAATAAACAACTCAAGAACCTCTTAACCATCCCTAGAGACGAATCGCGTCCCAAATCAGTATTCGAATTCATTTCAGGGTTGCATGACAGGCTCTTTATTGCGAAAAGACATTCGGGACCACTGTGAAGCAGCCGATGACGAAGGAGAAGTAAGAATTCTTGGGAGATTTTTCTTCGGCGTTTTTAAAACTCGTGTTTCCTCGGTTTCCAATTAAAATCTAAGCTATTTTTCTTCTAATAGACAAAACTCAAAGGTCCCTAGTGATTTTTGGAGCATCGTGAAGGAGGTTCCATCGTCAGCTGTATTATAGTTAAGAGTATAATTCGCTTCTTTTTTGTATTTGGAGTTTAAAAATGAAAATTTCAAATCATATTCACATTATACGGCGCGAGTGGCGCAGTGGTCGGAGGCGCCCTACAACACACACGTGGAATCGATCCTCGGGCCGATGGTCCAGCAAGCCTTCCATCCCGCCAGAGTCGGGAAATTGGTACCAGACTTGTCTGAGAGGATATCAGCACTGGCTCGATACATCGATAGGTCACCGCGAGTCATTGTAAAGGATAGATATGCATTCGTCACTTCCAATTATGCTTAATGAAATAAATCAAATGCATGGCGCATCCCTCAGGGATTGATCAATGCCGACACCTTTATCCTTTACTCACATTATGTTAGTTATATAGGATACATTTTGCGACTGAAACAGTCCTTTCTCAGACAAAAAGCTTTAGGTTGAAATTTTTCCAGGAAAAGTTCACTTGTTTCTGTAAAGGAAAAGATCACTGCAACGGTGGTCGCGCATTACAACGGATTGAAGTGGAAACGGTTGAACTCGTAAGTTAACAGTGTTGAAGTTAACATTCAGCAATCGATTCTATCGATTTCACCTTAGTCCTCTTTCCTATCCTACTTCACTTTGATTGGTGGTGTTGAGATTTATCGAATAATCCCTTACTGCTATTCGTTTGTAGTTTCGCATGGATAGCTAGGAGAAGAACTCACATCTTTACCTTCCTGACTACATTAACCGTTCAGTTAGCCGTCTGAAATCAATAGCGAGAGAGGAGTGTGGTGTTATTGGCTTAAGTCTTGCACTTTTGGATTGATGACGGAGCAAGCGTGAAAATGTCTAGCAAAAATCACTCACAGTAGGATGAAGTCTGGAATAACATACATTATTAATTAGAATTTTGCGGCAAAGTTATTCAAGAGTCTTTTTTGTGCCTAGAAAATGAAGCACTGATTTAATGACAGACGATTGATTTCTCGCATGCAAGTGAATTTTTAATGTAGAATGTTAAGTTACTTCTTCGACAGTTCGACGGCCCGTCCTCACTGGTTGTCCGAACTCCAGAGTATTCTTCATTTTTCGGAGTTTTCCTGATTTAGCCATTGCGTTTCCTTGGAGTCCCGAGGTCAGCCTGGCCAAAGTTTGCTCCAGGTCGTCACTACCACAGGCAGTCGCAGCCCTTGTGGATCAGAGGGAGATTTGCCATTATGTGACTAGTTTGATACCAGGGCGGTGGTGGGTCCTGTTAGTGGTTTACTCTTAACTGGGCCTCTTGATAGAAACGCCGCACTCATTTTCAGCTTCGGAGACAGCTTCTGAAGAGATGAATCCCCCGCTGTACATTGCAACCCGATACCCAGGAACACCTCCCAACCATGGTGAGGCGGTAAACCGTTGAGAGGGAATGTTAAGTAATGATCCAAAATTCATCCAACTTTTAAATTGCGCTGTGCTTCATGCTACGAGAGTTTAGCTGAAAAAATTTACCTCATTCCTATTCGATTGGCGTGCCCAGCTCATCTGACCAATCACGTTGGCTTAACTCTATTTCTCCCCGACCGATAACATTCGTCCACTGCTTATATGTCCAGGAATTTTTTAATAACATTAGTTCTATTTCAGTTAACATGCGTGTGTTCGGGAGCACATTGTAAAGATGACACATGTATTGGAGAATTGTGTAGTTACGTAGTGAACCATCGAACGAAGGAAGTCGAAAAGGTGAAAGGGCTGTTTTTGTCATTGAAATGTTTCATACTGTTACCAACCTCGTTTAGAACTACTATAAGGGTAGCTTCCCACTTTTAACAAGTTTTTAGCTTTGAGTGAACATTTTTGAACTGGAAATTGAAAGATGTGTCTAACCAGACAGCAGAAGTACGAAAACGTGAAGAAATCAATCCACTCAACGAACTTCGAAGCATCTATCAAGCATTCGTAGAGCTTTTAAATAAAGAAAAATCCACCACTGGTTATAAATATCACAGATTTTTTGAAAATATTCCGCTTTTTCAAGTTCTTTCTATCACTGTGAGTCATCGCTTGGAATCCTTAGGAAGGAAATCGATGTGTTTTCCGCTCCTAGTGCAGCGGCTCCTGGTTGCAATTGGAAAGGAATGCAGGCATTTCTGCCATATGGATTTGTTTTTTAGGGTTTTTTTTATTCAGGGTTGTGTAAATGCCTCAGTCCCATTAGTCGAACGACGATCGATGGGAGCATGTATGATTCCACCAATCACCGGTGCTATGCATCACACAGTTGCAAAGGTAAGCGACTTTGAATACTGCAAAGCGAAAATCTCACAGAATCTCTCCATACTTTCATCTGACGACTAACCTTTATTTACTTCTATGTTCTGCTCTCTCTTAAGTCGCTTTATACAGAATTTCTTATGCAATATTTATATGGCATAAAATTTAAAGGGATCCTATACGACAAACGCGGTCGCTAGTTTTATCCAGCGTTCTGAACTAACTAAGATCCCTATCGCGCCAGAGATGGGAAAATTATGCCAGGCTTGTCTGGGAGGATAAAAGCACGGACTTGATATATGCCGCATCTAATTACTGTATAGGCCAAATAAGCATTCAATCACCTCTACGATGCTGGATGGAATCCAATATGACGCTCATCACCCATGGCTTGATGAACGCCGAATGTTTTATTGTTTACCATTTCTAGTCTTTCATGCATCGTATTATATCCGGTTTTCAAATATGAACGAATGATCCCAAAATATCGGTGAAATGAATAACTCTTGAGTAGCCATATAAAATTTTATGGAAACTCTAAAATTTGGTGGCATTTCATTGGTTTTATTTCCTTCACTTCTCCTAATTGTCTCCTAAATTCAAGCCTACATTAGTAAAGTCTCTATTCGCGCGTGTCGAGCGCCACAGCTGGATGCCATGTGGTCTACGCTCGCTTGAGGGACATAAAGGACACCACACATTTAGCATGAAGCCTATCATCTTTTAAACTGCTTTTGAATAGAGGGCACTTATGATTGCTTTTTTGGGTTTTGCCTTTCTGGCTAAGTCATGGATGGTAGACAGCTTTCCGTACCCTGTCGTAGAGATGTGGGATTTTTCTTTGATGGTGGTCTCGAAGCCATTCACTTTGCGGTAGTTTGATTGAAGCTATTTCCACCCAGTTAGGATACCAGACTCAATTCCCCAATTCAACTACTTACATCTATACATAGATATTATTGCGTTTTTACGGAAAATGTAAGTCATTTCGGCAACTAGATATTGCAAGTCTATCAACCTGAATCTATCGGCGTGTCACTTCCATTGCTGCCTTTGGTTAAGTCATCACTTTTCTTTCAAGACTGTGCCTCAAAAACTATGATCCTCAAAATAACTCTGCCGTACATTTCCTTTTTATAGTCTTCTGTAAAGATAGAACTGTATTAAGTGTTGTACATATTGTGTATTCTAGGTCGTAGATAACCCTTTACGCAGTTATAAACGCATAATCATAGGGTTTCAAGCTTAAAAGTTGCTAAGACACTTTTTTGGTGGTGCAATTGAACATGAAGGATGTATGGTGAATAAAAAAGGACTCGGCGTCGATCAATTCCTTGTGGGTGCACCATGCATTCGCCTCTATTCGTAGCATCGTGGAGATTATTGAATGCATATTTAGCCCACACAATGACTTTATGGACATCTAGCGATTCGCCGCCTCAGTGTTTTAGTCCTCTAACTCTAATACCGACTATCCTATCCTTTACGACTCAGTTTCTTCTGGGTCCAGAAACGAACCATTTGCCGCCAATGTATTACAACATGCCTCTAACCGCTGCATTAAACGCACCATTCAAATGGGCATACTCAAAATTCCGAACATTGCTTGCATAATGGTAATTTCCTATTTCACGAATTATGTGAACGCCAACCTCATTTGACTGATATATTGACAGTTTTTGAGGAATTCCTTTTCTTCTGTACTTCGGGGGCATTGACGGGCCTCCTCGTCGTTGGTGTTCTCAGGGTGTCAATCGGACACAGTAAGCGGTTTTTGAACAGCGGACGGGACACGGAATGATTTGCAACTTTGTCAGCAGTTTAGAACATCTCCTGACATTCATGAGGTGATGAGATACAGAGGATTAATTTCCTAACTCTACATTTAAAATGTCGTTTTAAATTTAATCATTTCTTATTATGCTGTGCTTCTATAACTGAAGTTGCGAAACGAATCAGAATCGTTCTATTTTGTGTCTCTATGGGAAATGGGCGAATCCTCTTTAATAAGGGTGATGGATAAGTTCGTTGATTCGAAGTGAATGCACCGTTGCCGCCGGCGATGCGATGAGATGGGAGTTAATGGAGTTCTTCATGTTTTTCATACTGAGTTCTTGCAGGCGTAGAATTTATTGATGAAAAATTTGTCTGCATGTCTGCATAACGGAAAAAACTGGAAAAATTGATCTATTTCGAAGACGGTAAGCAAAGCCGCAGGTGGAAGTTCAAATTAGATTGCTTTGTTTGGAACGTCCAGAGATATTCAAGCCAAGAACGCGAGTGGCCCATTACTTGTAGGCACCCGAGGGTACACACATGGCGCTCGCTCAGTCCAGACTCCCATACCATACAACCCTTCCATCTACCCGGAATTGGAAAATTAGAACAAGAATTGTCTGTGGAGAAAAAACACGAACTTGACGCTTTAGCAGAGATTTTCAAGCCACTATATAGACCAGATATGTTTCAATTACACCTCTACGGTTTTACGAATGGAGCCAAATGCAAGATGAATTTTTCAGGATTTGATTAAAGCCGAATATTCTGTCCTTCCTGCATTAGTAATTCACCAGGGCGAAGTAATAAAATAAGGACTCTTAAAAATTTCTCTACAACATCGATTTCCTCATTACATCAAATTGTTACAGTTTTCAATCCATTAAGTTTACACTTTCAGGATGCAGCAGATTTGCTGAAAACTGAGTCTTGCGTTTGCGGCCAGGATTACTGTAATTCGGAAAAGCCTGAAATAACAGTACCTGAGCGACAGAAATGTCAGACTTTTGTTAACGCTAAAGTAATGGGAACGCAGGTTAGTTTTATCTGATCTACCGGTTTCTGTTTTAAACTTGTAAGGTTAAATGCGACCCTATTGGGACAACAATTTACATGTTTCAGATGAGATCGAAAAATATTACATGTACCGGAGAATTCTGCTTCAAGGTATCGATTAGGTCATGCAATTTCTCGTTTTCGATTTTTTCAATGACTTTCAACAAATTTTTAGTGGACTCTGCCAATGGTTCGGTAATATTTATTCGGATTCAATCAATAATTTCACTTTTGCTATGCTCCAATGAGAGTCGCACCTTATACGCTTAATATTGGTTGCTTCTGTTCTTGGTCAATAGTTTTGTTTTAGTTATCTCTTAAAGTTGCTATTCTTACGAATTTTCCAACTTAACAATTGTCCCATGATTACTTGGTTATTTTTTATATGGTCCTAAAGAAGTGTGTGTAGCGCGGTGGTTAGAGCTAACCTGCGATACACCGAAGTGACCCATGCATGAGTTCGATCCTGCACCCTAGACCCACCACCCTTCCATACCTCGTTGGTCAGAAACTGCTTGAAACCTGTTTAGGAGGATATCAGCACTGACTCGATACGTTACTAAGCCTGCGCAAGTCGTTGTATTTGACGAATATGCGTTCAATCACCTCTAACGATGCTTGATGAAGTTTAATGGGTAGCGCATCCCTCAGGGATTGATCAACGCCGAAAACTTTATTCTTTATCCTCCTGCGACCCAACCACATACAGCGCAGATGCCAGATCTTCCGTAATTCCATTCGTTGTCATGCGTCCACCGCCAAGGGATGTCATCATATTTACGAGGGGTTTGGCTACCCCATGTGTATTTCGTCAACGTCGTGAAAGTTGTTGGCGGGTCGGAGGTATGGTGGAATCAGCATGCTTTGCACAGCATTCACTTTCACTATGCCGTTATGCCTCCTGCATCTTCTAGGATCCTTCTTGTTTTAGTTCGCCAATGACATGAAGATCTGTCGCCTTCTGCCTTCATTGACAATCTGAATGCTGGTCGAAAGCGACCTTTAACGGGATCCATAGATGGCCGTGCAAGGGCCTTACCGTGTCTTGTTTCATAATGCATATAGACTGTGGAAAATTATTTTAATAAGACCAATTGATGATGATGTCACGCATAAACTACTGAAAATTCAAGCAATTTTTCAAAATATGAGGTATCTATTTTTTAGTGAGCGCCTCGAATATGAGTTGGTGATGAGCATATGGGTGTGGAGGTAGGGCGACGAATTCTAGATGGGAATTGCTGCTTAAAATCATCGATCAACTTTCATATGGCTATGAAATCATTGAAAGATGTCTATTGACAGAGCCAATGTAGTTTGTAAAGGGAAGAAATAAACTATAGGTCTTAACCCTTTTATTTACTGCCTTTTTCTTTTTAATGGCAGGGTATGTTGCCAAATAGAACTCGTATATAATGCTGAGATATTTGCAAAACTCCGGACTGCAAGTGTATGCGGTGGGGAACGAACGCGCGCTATCGTCCTTTCCGTGGAATAGCGCACTTCACCACCACACCATCCGGGTCCTTTGCTTTGCCTTTCTCAGCTAAAAGAAAAAGGCAGTAAATAAAAGGGTTAAGATTGTGATTATAACTAGGCCTCAGCTTAACTGGGTTCAATGCCGATTTGGGCTCCCCAGATCAATCCCGTTGACGGGTGATTGCTGATAGCAAAAGATCAATAGAACTAGCTGAGAGACAGGCAAAGTGAAGGACCCGGATGGTATGGTGGTGAGGTGCGCTACTCCCCGGAAAGGACAATAGCGCGCGTTCGTTCCCCACCGCATACACCTGCGGTCCGGAGTTTTGCAAATATCTCAGCATTATATATAAACTATAGGTATTGAGCAATACGTTTAACCATTATAAAAGGATAAAGCTCTCAGCGTTGATCAATCCTTGAGGAATGCGCCATGCATTCGACTTCATTAAGTATCGTTGGAGGTTACTGAATGCATATCTGGCTTTGCAATGACTCGCGGTGTCTGTCCTACCGATGTATCGAGCCAATGCTTCTATCCTCCAAGAGAAGTCTGGTACCAATTTGCCGACCGCGGAGGGATGGAAGGCTTGGTGGGCCATGGGCGCCGGAGTCGATTCCACGTGTGTGTCGCATTGGCGCTTCCAACCACTGCGCTGCACGCGCTGTTGTCACTATCATATTCCTACATATTCATTATAACTTTCCCATCCATAATGATACAGGTCCAATTCAAGGAGCAAATTTTGAGGCAAGCGAAGACTAACTGAAGATCCGACTAGTTGCATTTTTGTCTAACCGTTTGCCACTTCCTGAATCGTAGATCTTTCTACTCCGTATATCCGCACTGCTTTTAACTTAATGTCTTCTTCATAATGTCAGTCTTTGGCTTCCCATGGATGAACATACTTTTCAAAACATTCTTAAGTAATCACACGTACATCGGATGGCGGCACGGCAGGACAGTGGCTAGAAAAATGTAACCACACGCGTGGTCGCTGGTTCAAATTTACCAGGAAGCAACAAAGCTCTTTGTGATTCCTGCCTCGATAAATTATATCGAAACTTTCCTAAAATCGAGAAGTCCCACCTACTGCCTGTGGTGAGGGTGATGTTCTCAGAATGTCCTAGTATAACTATCGCAGGAAGAGAGAATGAACGAAATAGGCCGGCATTTAGTGGTATTTATGAGCAAGAAAAACTCCTTAAATTGCACTCGAGTGCGCTTACAAGTCCTCACATCGGCAAGAAACAAAGGGTCTGAGATCTGTAGAATATATGAAGTTGGGTCATTTAAATGAGTAAAGTTGCCGACTCCCTGATTTGTGGTCCCGAGACCAATACTGTTGACGGGTGATTGCTGATTGCAGCGTTAGGTAGTAAACTGGCTGAGAGGAAGGCAAAGTAAGGGCGCTAGTGGTTGCCATACGTAACGTTTGAGCCCTGGATCGGGTAATCGCAGTGCGATCTGGCCTAGTGCCCAAGTTTTGCTGAATATCTCAGCATCATAGTGATTGCATTTCATATCATGCTCCGCCGTCGAAAATGAAGTGTAAAGTTAACATTGTGAATAAAGATCCGTTTAAAGAAGGCTTCATGCTCTTATTTAACTGCTGGTAAGTGTTTAGAAATTTGCTTAAGCAATTAAATAACCATATTGAGTGTTTCCTACTCGCAGTTATTACTTAAGGCCCGAATACAATCAAAACTGGGTCATATGTCGGAGTACAGCACGATCGGTTGTGCTTCATTCACTGGTGACGACGCGTTGGCAGAGGAACTGAATCCAACCGGATGTGCGAAATTCTCCAACGAACAAGTAGAAGTGTCTGCTTGTTTCCAGGTAAGGATCACTTCTAAGCTGTTATGACTGCTGGTGAAATAAAAATAACAGAGGCGATGCATTTTCAAGCACTTGAAACGTATTCAATAAGCTTCTGTTTCTAATTTTTAGAACAGTGTTTCTTGAAGAAACAAAAATAGGCCCATAGAATTCGGTCCTTTGTGGTCGTTGTCTAGGGAGTGAAACGAGACGAAATATGGAAACGCCAAATCGCCTAACCATTTATTTATTAAAACTAAAACCATCGGTTTTCGTTACAAAAATTAGAAAAACCCGGCACAGTTCCTAGTTGACCGATGTGCTGCTGGATGGTGAGCTACCCTTTTTCCCACTGGGGTCTTAAGAAAGCCGTTTCGAGCCGTTTTCAAGTACGAGGGTACGGGCACCTTAGGGACTTCAGCTCTTCGGATCAAGTGGATGTTCCTTACTTTGCTATTGCGATTCTTCTAGAGCAGCAGTGAGTCCTATTAGTTTAGTGACAGTGCTTCTAAGAGGTGAAGTAAAAGAACGTTCCCGTCTCAGCTGCTTGATCGCGCAGGCAATGACTATGGATTTTTAAAGCTTTCCAGTGATCCACCGAGCACTTTGTGTTTACCAGATGATCTTCAATCTTTTCACCACTTTAGAATGGATGGAGTGCTTGGTTTTGCTGAAAGTAGAGTATAACCGTGGGAATGTGAGCTTACGAGTAGGTTAGGGAGATCATTGTCATCACTGATGCTCCACTTTCTCATATGATTAACATAAATGGATATAACTGTTATTTTCGTCGTCTCAAGCATCACAGTCTTTAAGTCATCAAAAAATAATGGTCAATAGAAAAACTAACTGTGTTCGCATCTATTTTGTTCTGCAGACAAAAGACAAAGCTGCAATAGGACGAGCGCGAGCCAATCAGGAAGTACGGGACCCAAGGCGAAAGTTGGGTGCAAAGGCGAAAAGCAGGTAAGGATATCCACGAATTCTTAACACATTCCCGATCATGCGACCTGATTTCATGTGTATGTTAACAGCCATTACTGGTTATGTGTACTTACTCTAATGCTCACTTTTTCACCGATTTGTTTCACTGCGCATAGCTGTTTTTCCAAGTATCAGCTGTTAGTCAGTGGGTAACTTATCCAACAAAGGTGCTGTGGTTGATATCAACCGAGAAAAGTCTTTTCTATAATCATGTTGTGTTCTGAACCTTCCAAAATTCCTACTTATAGAGGTATTATTGGCAAAGACCAGAATGTTCGTTATAGCTGAAAACTAGGCATCGTCGAAGAGTGGTAACATATCTACCGTAACCAAGCACAGCAAATTTGAAGAGTTTTTAAATGACTATAACCTACTAATGAACCTCTTCATAGATAGGAATTCAATAAATGGTTAGGACGAGCCATTAACAAAAAAATCCAAAATACTTGAATTAAATTGATTTTTTTTCTGCTGTTCAATAAGTTTACTGTAGCGTGAGTGCATGAAAAAGAAAACCTTGGTAGAATTTCATTTCCTTTAGACATTCGAAACTTTTTTCAATTATTTTGCCTTTTGCATGCTTCAACTTTGTGACTTTTGGAAATTTTCTCAAGTAAAATTGTTGATAATTTGTGTTGTTTGTATTCGTATTTTTGCACAGCGGGGGGATTCATCCCGCGGTAGGGTCTCCCAAGCTGACGAGTCCGGGATTTCCACCAGGAAGCCCAGCTAAGAGTAAACCAATATCAGGATCCACCACCGTCCTAGTATCAAAATAATCACATGGTGGCAAATGTCTCTCTGATCCACAAGAGCAGCTACTGCCTCCGGTGGTTACGACCTGGGACAGACTTTGGCCAGGCTGACCTCGGGACTCCAGCGAAAGACAATGGCTAAACCAACAAAACTCCGAAAAATGGAGAATGTGCTAGTGCCCCCACAACCAGTGAGGGTGGGCCGTTCAGGTATCCAAGTAAGTAAGTGAAATCACTGCTCTCATGTCTTTTCTTTGGGTATGTTAGTCGAGGAGTCATGTCCTATTCAATTATCTTTCCTGAGAAATGGAAGTAGTATAATGTTGAACTTCTTAGAAAGAGTGGAGTTTAGCGTCAATAGGCAAAGATAAAAATGACATTGAAACAAAACAAAGAAGCGTCATATTATTGTTCATGCGGCTTTTTCCATGTGATTTTATGTAAATACAAACTTTTTGCCAGGAAGCCTCCTCCAAAAATGGAGATTGAATACGAAGAAGAAGGTGAAGAAGAAGATGAAGACGAAGAGGCGGAAGATGAAAGAAAAGAAGAGAGGACAGGGAAAGGAGATAGAAAAGGGCAAGAGGGAAGGAAAGAGGAAGAAGAAAGGGAAGAATTTGAAGAAAAACAAGGTAATTTGTTACTTCTCATGCTGTGTTCACCAATTTACAAGCATTGCTATTCATAATTGGCGTTTTCAGCGCCCTCGGAGAATGATGATGAAGAGAAGGAGTTAGGAAACAAAGATGCAGAAGAAAAAAATGTGGAAGAGGATGATAAAAAACCGCCCACGGAGAAGAATTTCATATTCGAACGACCAACACAACCACCTATTCCAGATGACTCGAACACTACAATGGTAAAGAATTTCACCTCTTTGATCTTTATTCTATTGATGATTCTATATTCTTCATTCTTTTTCTTTTATATTATTTATTCCTTATTTCTTTATTCTATTTGGCCTCCCAAAAGTTTGTCGCGGGTGGATTTGTTCTCCTGGCAGGGTCTCTCAAGCTGGCTCCTCAAAAGCTGGCTCCGCAATGGCTGCGACTGCTTGTAGTGGTGAAGACCTGGGGCAGAGATTCCAGGGAATCGAAATGGCTTAACCAGCTGCAAAGGTTTCGTGTATGTGCATAGGAATGAAGTGGTTGTTATAAGTGTTAATAGCTGATCTCGAAGTCTGTTAAGATCAAATCGCTCTAAGTGCTACTAAGTAGGGCAGACTGTGTTGAGAGCTTTCTAAGATTCCAAGCATAACGTTTGACCACAGTCAAAGGACAGAGGACATGTAAGTTCCAATACCGTTATTCCTAATCGAGGCACCTATGAGTTAAGGACCTTCGACTACTTTCCTTCTTTCATACCATCCCCTATTACAATATGGGAGACTTTCACATATTGTGGGATCCTCAGAAAAAACCCTTCAAGGAAATCTTATTGCTAAGAGCTTCTTCTCTAGCGAAATTCATCAGTTAGACATTGTGTCTTTACAACAAAATGGGTGATAATTGCCACGACCAACTGTCTCTTAACCTCTGCATTGATCGAACAATTCTTTATATTTTTGTTTGGCAAACACGAGGTGTTATACTATTTCTTTGTTTACACACAAACTGACGATAACACCTCGTATTTGCTAAACAAGAATATAAAGAATAATGGTTGATGACGACCGTGTTTCGTTTGCCGCCATGTGGTGATGAGCCATAACGCCTCGATTACAATCACCATGACGAGATCAATCAATTGGCCTAGGTAAACAAATTTCAAAGCTCATTAATTAGCTTTTCGTGTTCGCCTTTGGACACTCGATATAGCCTACAGATGGGACTGGTGGGTTTCCCATAGCGCAAAGAGTGGTTCATTTCGTTAATGATTCCGTGACTATCTTTCTTGTACTTTCCAATCGTCTAATTGCAAGCTGCTTTTACTAAACCTATGTCCGTAATGAAATTTGTACGGACAAAAACTCGAGTCCATGTGTTCATATCGAACTCAGCACCTTGGTACCATGCTTGTATGGGAGGATAAAAACACTGAATTGATAAATGGATAGATGCCCACAAGTCATTGTGTAGATAAAATATGCATGCAATAACCATTAAGATGCTTACTGAAGTCTATGGCGCGTAATGCACCCACCACAAATCGCCGAGTACTTTATTCTTTACGTACTGCTCGATGTCGCGCGGGGTCGTAACTGATCAATTTTCGCATGTGGTTAACTATTAATGCTCTACATATGACCTAAGCTTGTAAAAGATTCCAAAAATGAGTGGAATTCCTAGGGTGATTTATGCAAATGAAAAAAAGGGAGAAAGAGGTCCTAAGTTACGAACTACTTGTACCACTTAGTGATTTTGTAAAGTATGAAATGAAATAAGCAAAGGGCCCTCACGTGCTCAGGCGCTTGGCCGATAACCGATAGAACTAGTTTCCTTAGTACTTCTCTCTCACATCACCAAGACGATGGTCAGCTTTACTGATAGTGAGATTGAGTAAAGAACATGATCCTCTTTCGTGTCCTTCGAAAGAGGAAAAGCGTCCATTATATTAGATTATCAAGCGAGCCGGGGAATAAATGTCCGCATGAGGTTCGAGATGCGTGGGATCGATAAAAGAATTAGAGGAAAGCAAGAAAAACGATTTCTAATTACAAGACTACAATGACTATTAAAGGTTTCAGCTGGCTTAATGGAAGATCCAGACAGGTGATAATCTCCGGAATGAACTTGCCTTGGTTACATTACATTTCCCTCTTCGCAGCACGGAATAATTCCGTTGAAACGATGGACTTCTGTAGCCACAAATTGGTTCCATTAGTTCTTGCCCTCATTGTGAGATCATTCGCCATATAAAAGAGTTAGGGGATAGAGATCTCCAAGTAGTTACAAAAACGTCTTTCTCAAACATCGTTTCTTCGCCGCTTCTTAAAATATCAGATTTCTTTCAGATTGCGGTGTTTGTTCTAATCATATTGTGCATTGTCGTCTCAGGAGCTGTGTGGAAGTTCGAGCTTCACAAGAAATTATTCCGTTCCAGTTATGACAGTGTCGCCGGTGGTTAGAAGTGATGACCTTAGATTTTTTCCCCAAGTACGAATGCCAACCTTTTCTCATTAGTCCATTCATCCACATCACTATGATTCTATTCCTTCACTTCTACAGAAATGCCACATTGTAGTACCAGAGAAGGACCACATGAGAAAAGTCGGCATTCTGTAGCTTTTTTCAAATTCACCCAAACATCTCCAGCTATTAAACTCGTAAACAGTAGCAGTTCATCAATCAACCCTGCACAGCACCCACATCCCAACCGAAAGCACACAACCGCTGAACCGTCTCCAGTAAGAAACTTTTACTTATGACACTGAACCCGGTGCTAAAATACAATAACTTTAAAAGCGTTTTGAAGGGTTGTGCCTATAGTTTCTCTTTAATCATCCATTAATCCATTAGTACAACGTTCAACGTTTTACATCCACAGAAAAACAGAAAGCACACAAAAGTGCCAGGAAATTCGTAGTGAGAACTAGGTATACTAGAAGGAACGTATTCAGTACCTGTTCCAAATTCACCTACGCACTTACTGCTATGCCATTCCTGAAACGTCGCAACGTCGCAGTTCGCTGCTTCCCAGATCTTCCCACAACACCCAAATCTCAACCGATTCTCCAGCATCGCTTAACGCTCGCCACCGCGTAGCCTTTCACCCCATCCCAGTGTCAGACACAGGCAACCCAGTGGCACCCAGTGGTTTTCAATTTGGTAGATCTAATCTCGGAATGATTTTCATAGGTGTTTTTCTTTTGTTTTTGATTATTTCGTTCTAGTCTGTGTAAAAATAACTATTTATGTTCAAGCATGTTTTAACTATAAGTTCACTTATATCTTCATGAAATTTTTTGAATGTTCATCTCTTTTATGCTTTTTTTTATCCGACTACTCAGTTTGTTTATTTATTTATTTCCTGGATCTCAACTGATTCCATCCCCATTTAGTTATCATTGACTTATTCCGACCACCAATGAAAAACTAAGTCTCCAAGCTTTTGAGTACCGCATAAATAGCATTGTTATGGTGATAAGGTTAGAGCAATATGTTAGTAATATTGATTTAAACTGTTTAAATGGATAGTAAAAAAAATTAGCTTTATTTTTACATAAAGTATTGAATTGTTATTGATTTATTCAGGCAGTTTTGACGTACGAGAAAAATTAAAGAAATGAAGATATCAAAGGAACGATCAGTTGTACCTTATCGTCGTTATTACAATACGTACGCGAAGAATGATGATTGTTCCCTGTATCCTGATTGGGTGCGGGTAGCACAATGGTGCAAAGTGCCTAACAATACACGCGAGGTCCTCAGTTCAACCCGGCGTCCTAGTGCAACAAGCAGCGCAAGGAGGCCGAAGGGATCTTCGTCACTATCGCCCCATATGTTTGTTAAGTGTACTCCACAAGCTCTTCACGAAGATTGTCCTCTCGCGCATATCAAGGATATTGGATGAGGCGCAACCACAGTCGAGCAAGCAGGATTTCGAAAAGGATTTTGCAGCATGGACCACATCGAAACCGTATCCAGGATCACCGAAGTTTGTCGGGAATGCCACTTACCTCTAGTCCTAACCTTTGTCGACTATGAGAAAGCGTTTGACAGTGTCGAAACGAATGCAATCCTATCAGCGCTCGTAGACCAAGGAGTGGACCCGTCCTTCAGAGAAACTCTGTCCGACTGTTATCGGAACTGCACTACAAAATTCAGCTTTTCCATCGACTTCTTACCATACCCATAGGGAAAGGGGTTCAACAGGGCTACACAATATCTCCAAGGCTGTTCAGTGCCGCACTGCAGTGGATAATGAAGTCACCCGATTGGGATGAGAAAGGCATACGTATTGATGGAAAATTCCTATCAAATGTTCGTTTTGCCGACGACATTGTCATCTTCTCAAGAAGTACTAGCGGAGCAGAGGTGATGATCAACGAGCTCAATGAAGCGGGGAAAAAGGTCGCACTTCGCATAAGTCGAAAGAAGACCCAGTTCATGAAGAACCCATGGTGCGAAGGCGAAAAAATTGAATTGGATGGCTCTCTCATTGCAGAGACCTCCTCTTACGTATACCTTGGGCGATCAATGAACATGGAAAATGACATGAAGAGAGAACTAGATAGAAGAAGGAGAGCAGCTTGGGCAGTATTTTAGCCTCTCAAAAAAGCCACCGACCAACTGAAGGACCCGAAAATCCGCGCTCTGTTATGCTGCAGAGACGTGGGTTGATACCTCAGCCACGTCAAGAATGCTTCGCACTACTCACAGAGCGCTTGAGCGATGTCTTCTGAAATATAACCGGAACTCTCAATATCTAGCCGGAATGCGAAGCTGGCACCTTCGAAATCTGTCACATCTTCGAGATCCAGGAGAAAATACATCGACAGCGAAACATAGATGGGCCGGTCACATAATGAGAAGAACAGACGACAGATGGACGAAAAGAACAGTAGAGTGGACTCCAAGAGAATGCAACACAACTCTTCCGAGAGACATCATGTCTTCATGCTCTCAAATTCATTAAATAAAATCGAGATGAATGTTCTTTAATCCTCTTATATCTCATATCCATAGGGAGAACACCATAGTAATGATGCCGTTCGCTATGAATGAGGTGCTGGTTCGACTCCGTCCCGGGTTCATGAAGTCTCCCATCCTTCGGGGTGGGAAAATTTGTACCAGACATGCCTGGGAATAACTAACTGTATATAACCTAAAGTGGGAACGGATTAACCAGGTTATCTCAGAATTCTAGTAGAAATCGATCCGACCAGAATTCAGCGAAATTCCATAAAGAAGATTACAATTCGAGACTAAAAACATTAACACAGTACAGTTGAAATTCATAGAGCAGCCGAATTCACGCACCAAATGTTCGAAGACCTCTAGTAAATGATGGATGCTAGGAAACTAGTTCAATGCAAGAAGTGTTGGGTTCCGCATGTTATCTCCTATCTGTTGCCCCTTAGTCATCGAGTAGCTTAAACGGTTCCGAAGAAAAAGTATACAGTTCGGGGACGATTTCTTTATAAAAAAAAAACAGTTTTTGGTGTGAAGGTAGCAACGGATAGCATGAGGGCCTCTCCTTTCAAGCAAGTCTAGTAGCAATTTGTTGCCCCCATTACAACGAACGTTGGTTCACCTGGACGAGGGGTCAAGCCCGAGGCCGTGTACACTGCAAAGCACATCAAACCAACGCGTTGCATGCACCCCAGCAATAATGATATTTGAGATGATATGACAAATATAAGAATGCTTCGAAATTCCTTTGCCTAGAGGGAATATTTATGGTGTGAGCTTTTGTTTCTAGTGTGTCAGATTGTCTCCACGAATGTTGGACTGCATGAGAACTGCTACTGTAACGTGGTTGACCTCAGCCATGATTGCCCTTTAAACGCTGCCGTGACTTATTGTATTATATTTCAGATATGTAAATAATAGATAAATGAAAGGAAAACGAGTTTGATTTTGCCCAGAATCCGTTTGGATCATGGCGTTCGATTAGGGGTCGTGGAACTGAATGTTATCGGAACGAATTCGTCTCTTGTTAGTACTTCTTTTGTTAGCGAAAGCTACAGAGTAGATAAAATTTCAGTTGCCTGTAGAATTTTCCAAGATGCTATGTGAATATTAACTAAACGTTCTCAAGCAGTAAATGTTTATTAAATACGAACTATTTGTTTGATGTTCAAATTGCTGCGTTAAAACGGTTTCCAGAACCCTATTCTGCCTCGAGGGATCACCTTGTGAAACAAACTGGGCGGCAATCGCTGTTGACAACACTGATTATTTCATTTAACAAGGGTCAAATTGCTAAGCACAGTAAAAAAAAAAGCGAGCCTCATTTCCCTGACTCCGAAAGAGCTTCCAATGTCGCAGCGTTGAGTAGGACGAGTACGGAGAGGCTGCTAAAATCTCAGTGCCAATGGAACCTGTCTTGATTACAAAGAACTACTTCATTATCCACTGAAGTGCGGCACTGAACAGCTTTGGCGATATTGTGAAACACTGTTGAACCCCTTTTCCTATGGGTATGGTAAGAAGTCGATGGAAAAGCTGAATTTTGTAGTGCAGTTCCGACAACAGTCGGACAGAGTTTCTCTGCAGGACGGGTCCACTCCTTGGTCTACGAGCGCTGATAGGATTGCATTCGTTTCGACACTGTCAAACGCTTTCTCATAGTCGACAAAGGTTAGGACTAGAGGTAAGTGGCATTCCCGACAAACTTCGGTGATCCTGGATACGGTTTCGATGTGGTCCATGCTGCAAAATCCTTTTCGAAATCCTGCTTGCTCGACTGTGGTTGCGCTTCATCCAATATCCTTGATATGCGTGAGAGGATAATCTTCGTGAAGAGCTTGTAGGTGCACTTAACAACCATGTGGGACGATAATTACGAAAATCCCTTCGGTCTCCTTTCTTGGGCAGGATAACGGTACACGACGTCCTCCACTGGTCTGGGATTTTCTCCTTTTGAAGGTAGCCTGTCATATGATCTGCGAGAAGTACCTGTAAATTGTGGCACCCAACTCTAAGGAAGTCGGCAGTAATATTATCGGGTCCTGGAGCTGTGCCTGTTTTCATGATTTCTATCTCAACTCGAACCTCCAACAGAAGAATTCCAGGCGGTTTTCCCCAGCAAGGGTATTAGGGCCCGGGACGGGGATTGTAGAACGGAAAACGTTGGTGTAGAACGTTTCCGCTATTAATTCCATATCATGGCGCGAAGTTTTGACGATCACATCTTCAATGTTGCTGAGATATTTGCAAAACTCCGGACCACAGATGTATGCGGTTGGAAACGAACGCGCTATTGTCCTTTCCGGACAGCGACGCGTTCACCACTGCACCATGCGGATCCTTCGTTTCGCCAGTCTCTCAGCTAGTTCTATCGATCAGTGCCATCAGCAATCACCCGTCAGCGGGATTGATCTGGCGGCCCAAATCGGCACCGAGCCTACTTAAGCTGAGTTATATTTCATAATATACCTTGCCACTAAAAAAAAAGAGTAGA